AGTTCATAAGGTTTAAGGAATGAAGCCATCTCCATTATATAAAAGTGCAAGGTGAAGCAGTGGATGCTGATGTAGAAACTGCAACAGGTTATCCAGAAGATCTAGCTGAGATAACTGATGAAGATGGCTACACTAAACAACAGATTTTCAGTGTAGACAAAATAACCTTACACTGGAAAAAGATGCCATTTAGGACATCCACAGTTACAGAAGTCAATGTTTAACTTCAAAGCTTCAAAGAACAGGCTGACTGTCTTATGAGAGGCTAATGCTGCTACTGACTTGGACCCTTGAGAATCATACTAGACCTACTCTGTCCCTGCTCTATGGGGCAAGAAAGCCTGATGGCAGCACATCTGTTTACAACATGCTTCACTGAAGAAGTTAAGTCCACTACTGAGACCAGGGGCTCAGGAAAAGAAGGTTCCTTTCAAAATAGTACTGCTTACTGACGACATCTGGTACCCAAGAACTCTGATGAAGATGTACAAATTTAATTTTGTTTTCATGTCTGCTAACAGTATCTATTCTGTAGTCCATGGATCAAAGAGAAATTCTGATTTTAAAGTCTTGTTTAAGAAATACATTTCAAGTGGTGGCACACAACTGTAATCCTAACACTGGTGAGGTAAAAGCAGGAGGATCATGAGTTCGATGCTACCCTGGGTTACATCAAGAATCTCTGTCAAGCTGGGCGCTGTGGCTTACACCTGTAATCCTAGCTACTCAGGAGACAGACATTGGGAGGACTGAGGTTAAAAGCCCGCCCAGGCAAATAGTTCTACAAGACCCTATCTCAAAAAACTCTTCACAAAAATAGGGCTGGTGGAGTGGCTCAAGGTGAAGGCACTGAATTCAAGTCTCAGCACTACAAAACAAAACAAAACAAATCTTTGTAAAAATAAATAAAATTAATATTAAATTAAATAAATACATTCATAATGCTACAGCTGTCAGATAGTATGGCAAAGTAAACTGAAAACGTGGAAAAGATTTACCATTCTAGGTGCCATTAAGAACATTCATGGTTGAGGGGTAAGGGGGAGAGGAAGGGGGCAGAGTGGGTGGTAAGGGAGGGGGTGGGGGCAGGGGGGAGAAATGACCCAAGCCTTGTATGCACATATGAATAATAAAAAAAAAAAAAGAAATAAAAACATGCACTCAGCTAAAAAAAAAAAACATTCATGGCTGGCAAAGTGGCTCGAGTGGTAGAGCATCAGCCTAGAAAACAAGAGACCCTAAGTTTAAACTCCACCATTGCCAAAAATAAAAAGCAATAGTCACGGTTCTGGCTCTTGATGTATAGGTATAGGTACTGCTCTTAAGCCACGTTGGTCAGAGCCTGCGCCTCCCCACTTTCCTTGAGAAGTATACTTTCCTGCTTTCACAGTCAATAAAACCCCAGCACCACCAAAACACATACAGACAACAACAAAAACCACTCATAAGTTGTAAGAGGAGGTCAAACATTAACATTATCAGAAGTTTGGAAGGAGTTGATTCCAACCCTCTTGGATGACTTTTTAGGATTCAAGATTCAGCAGTGGAAGTAACTGCAGACATGGAGGAAATATCAAGAGAACCAGAATTAGAAGTGGAGCTTGAAGATGTGACTGAACTGCTGCAATCTACAGACAACACTTTAACAAATGACTTGCTTCTTATGGCTAAGCAAAGTTGCTCCGTGAGATGAAATCTATTTCTAGTAAAGATCCTGTGGAAACTGTTACACCGACAACAAAGGATAACTTAGGATAATATATAAAAATTTACTCGATAAAGTGGCAGGGTTTGAGAAGATTGAATCTAATTCTCAAAGAAGTTCTTCTGTGGATAAAATGTTATCAAACAGCATCACATGCTACAGAGAAATCTTTCATAAAAGGAAGAGTCAATTGATGCAGCAAACTTTATTAACAAACTGCCACAGCCACCTCAACCTTAAGAAATCACGAGGCTGACCAATAATCAGCCATCGATACTAAGACCCACCTCCATCAGAAAAAAAGATTACATTAGCATATTCTAGCAATAAAGTATTTTTAAATTAAGGTATATAAATTTTAAAAGTACAATGTTACTTACTGCACACTTAACAGTGTAAGCACAGCTTTCATGCACACTTAGAAACCAAAAAAAATTTTTTATCCTTTTCAAGACATTCACTCTATTATGATCCAAATCTGCATTATCTCCACAGCACCCTTGTATTCTAAATGCAGAGATATGGGTCATGTAATAACTGAATGCTGAGGTAGGAGGAGCCACGATGGTGGGAGAAATGGAAAACAAGAAATCCAGTATGAGCCAAGTGCCAGTGGAGTGGCTCATGCCTGTAATTCTAACCACTTGGGAGGCTGAGGTCAGGAGGATCAACATTCAAGACCAGCCCAAACAGTTATGAAATCCCATTTCCAAAATAACCAGAGCAAAATGGACTGGAGGTGTGGCTTTAAGAACACACAAAGCAATATAGAGACTACTTTGCAAGAGTGAAGCCCTGAGTTCAAACTTCAGTTCCACAGAAAAAAAAAAGAAAGAAATCCAATATAAACTAGATTTCTATCACTAAACCCAAAAGATAACTGTCAAATGTTTAAAAAAAAAAAGTATATATGGCATCATTTCTCTTTACTTAAAAGAGCTGTATATATGTAAACATGAAAGTACTTAATATGAAGAAAGTTTGGAATGATACACACCAAACTGTATAGCTGACATGTGAAAGTACACAGAGAAAAGGTCCTATTTTCATTGTTTACTTTTTGTTTGACTTTTTCTTTTTTTAGAGCATTTGTTTTTATAATAAAAATAACATGTAAAATTAAAAATTAAAAAGAAAATAAACAAAATAACTCCCTAAAATAGAGGCAAGAGTTTAACCCTACTTGTTTTTTGTAGCATTAATTAGCATTTCAAAACAAGTACCAATAGACAACTAATTTGTTTCTATTACATGAAAGCTATCAGAATACTCCAGCAGTATTTGAGAGATTCCATGAAAGGAAACTTTTGGAAAATAAATTTCCTAATATTCACCAGAAGTGAGTAGTATGCTAAAATTATGAACTGCAGTAATTTTACCTTGATAATTTGTTAATTATAAAAGTTGACGTACACTTGTTGAATTTAATCAACACAGAGATTATTAAAAAAATCACTGTATCCCCATGCCCCATCTAATTTCCTTAGTCATCGGTATTAACAATTTAATATATAGCCTTACATATCATTTTTAATATCCATACAGACTTTGGTTTTGTTTTTTTGTGTCCATAAAAACAGAACTATATAAAATGACTTTGCACCTTGCTACTTATTCATCAGTACAATTTTAAAATATATTTACCTAGTTGTAAAAACCCATTTTTTTTTTTTACCTACATAGAATTTCAGTTTTATTTGGGTTTTTCAAGATACTTTTGTTACTTATGAATGAAAACAAAACAGAATATAAAATTTACTCTAAAACAGCTGGGCAGGATAAAAATAGGATACAACCACCAACTGGTTACTACAGGATAACAGGTTTGCCCTTACTAGGTTTTTTGTTTGTTTACTTTTTTAGATTTTGTTTTACAATGCATATTTCTAAGCTACAAATCTATCATCAAGATTGTTTAAGTTATCAGTAGTCAAACAAAAATAAGCCTAAGAAACCCAAGACACTACAATGCTTCTAGGCTATGTCAAGTCAGTGCCCCTGAAAACTCCCCAGAGACTAAAAAGGGTGTCTATGCAATGCAATAGAGGACTGAGTCAGACTCTAAAGCACTGCTTCAAATAGTACTAACAGAAATGAGATAAAGTGACCTATGAAGTCATAGTGTATCCACCCCCATCTTAAGAAATCTTAGTCCCTAAGAAATAATAACCAATTCTTTGTCCAATCAAACTTCTACTATATACAGGACGGACCTTTCACCAAAAAACAAAAAGAATACCCTATCAGATTCTTAATGTGTAAGGAAAATATAATAATAAACTCCAATTTCCTAAAGATTTACTAATTAATATTTTTTTGGCAGTACTGTAGTTTGAACTTCGGGCCTCGCACTTGCTAGGCAGGCACTCTACCACTTCAGCCACTGCACCAGCCCTACCTACTTATTTTTACTTATCATCTTTTACTCTAGATTTTAAAAATGTGAGCTGGGTGCTACTGGCTCATGTCTATAATCCTAGCTACTTGGGAGGCTGAGATCAGGAGAATTGAGGTTCAAGGCCAGCCTGGGCAAATAGTTCATGAGACCCCCCCCCATCTCCAAAAATAACCAGAGCAAAATGAAATGGAGTGTGGCTCAACAGTGGAGCTCCTGACTTTGTGAGCACCTACTTCATAAGCACCAAGCCCTGAGTTCAAACCCCAATCTCACCAAAAAAAAGTGTTTTTCCTTATTGGAGGACCAACCATCAAACAGTTACAGTTACAGTTATAGCAGCTTGTCTAGAACTCAATCTAGGTTAAAGGAAATAGAACGTGTAAAAAAGACCCTATACCAAGATCCTTTTAACAACCATTATCATCACTTACTTTCCTGCTGATCCACCACAATCTACTAACAATCCAATTCTTGGACTGAAGAATAAACCTACCAAACATAACAAAGTTGACCACTGCATGACTACTGTGATGTTTAAATATGCATTGCTCTTTTGCTTATGATTTTTTAAGAAACAGACTTGACTATTCAAAGGCAATGATGAAAATATATTCAGATTAACAGCATCCGATTTTTAAAATTACCCACCATTACAAAAAGGAGACTTTCTGTTTTTGTTTTGTTTTATACATTGCCATGAATATTGACTGCTTCATGGCTCTAACATAATTAGACAAATTAGACAAAACAAAAAGATGACATGAACCCTGTTAAGGCACATATTTTCACTTAATAAGACACAGAAGGGTTACTACTTTTTCCTAAAAGTTGATTGCTATTGTCAATATTACTTTTTCCTAAAAGTTGATTGCTATTGTCAATATTACTCAAACTTACCTCTAGTTCTTTAATTTTTTCTTCTGCTATTTTCTGTTTCTCTAACAACTGACTGTGAATTACCTCCTTGGATTGAAGAATAAACCTATAAAACATAAGAAAGTTGAAAATTAAGCTACATGAGCTCTGTATTCACCAAAATCAAGTATCACAAATTGTATACTAAGAAAACTAACAAGATTATCTCTCAATTCAGGACAAATAAAATACACTGTTATATTAATTTGATAAACTTAGGAGACAACCACATGTTTTAAGTCTTCTTGGCTGAAGGAATAAATGAGTACTTTCTTCTTTCTTACAGAGAATCAGGTTTCAAGTAGATTCACAGGTAGAAACAAGGCCATTAAAAAAAAAAATCTATCATAGACTAAGAGAAAAGTCAATATATAAACAATAAAAATCTCTCAAAACATTTTTTCAATTACCTAATTTAACTTTATCTAGATTTTTTTAAATAATATTTGTAAATTGGAGCTTCCCTCTTTTTTTTTTTCTTTCCTCTTTTGGTAACAGCAGTTAACTCATGACCTTTTAAAGCCACAATCAAGTACTATGTTAAGATCAATGCATTAGTGTTTACATGAGTTCCTCACACAAAAAGCACTGTATAAGCCCTAGGTTTTCTTTTATTATTATTTCCAGATTGTATAATACCTCTGAAAAGCCCAAAATACACAAGTGGAAAATTTCAACGTTTTCCATTTTATAATCAAGCACATTATTTACCAATGATTAGGGTGGAAATAAGGGGAAGCTTTAAAACTTAACACTGAATCTGCTTTGTGTTCATAACTCTTGCTGCAGGGAAAGGAAGAACAGTTTTATTGCTGCAAGTAAGTGAACTGAAGTATCTGCCTTCCACTAGCGGCAAGGGGAAACCCTAATTATTCAGGCCTCTTTCAGGATTGGCTAACTAGGCCAAAATAGATTTCAATTAAAGATTATAGCTAATTAAGAAGAAAATTACTTCTCTTTACTCTTAAAATTCAGCAACAGAGAGCTAAATATCACCTCTTAACATGAAAGCCAACAAGCCAAGGCAGCAATATGCAATTCTCTCTGCCAACACCAGAAAACAACACTGTGCCCAGGTAGCCTCAACAAGAGGGTCTGTCAATCATAGATATAAGCAAGACAAGTAAAAAGAAACCCAAAAGGGCCTGGTGCCAGTGTTTCACACCTATAGTCTTAGCTGCTTGAGACTGGGAGGATCAAGGTTTGAGGCCAGCCCAGGCAAAGAGTTCAAGAGACTCTACCTCCAAAATAACCAGAGCAAAATGAAGTGGAGGTGTGGCTCAGGCAGTTAAGCACCTGCTTTGCAAATGCAAAGCTCTTAGTTCAAACCCCAGTACTAAAAAAGAAAGAGAGACCAAAAGGACAACTGGCTAAGTCCCGGGAGGAAACCTTTTTCCTTCTTTATGAATACACCTTGTCACACATGTTAACACAATCTGATGAACTTGTAAGCCACACTCCTGAGGTAGCCAGCCCAGATAACTGAACTGATGAGCTTAGTCACCAGTAAGTCACTTGAACTTTCGTAAAAACTTTATACATATTATGTACTAGAACAATTCCCCACATTCATGTAAAATGATTGATTTTAGGTCTTTTCCTATAGAACATTTCATATCTAAAATATTCTTACTGGGTTCAAGAGACAGGTGCTATTTTGAATAAGACTATGATACACAGAATATCTATCTCAGAATTAAGTCATGCTAGTATTTGAGAAAAGTTGTTTGCGACACTACTGGTCCAAGAGTTGCCAATTATGTCATTATATGCAAAGTTTTACTAAGAAAGTCTTTTAGCTCGTGAAGTTGCTTAAGCATTAGAGTAACTGCCTTACAAGTGTGAGGCCCTGAGTTCAAACCCCACTACCACCAAAAACAAAAGTCTTGTAGTCATTCAAGTAATTTTCAAAGTAATATATACATTTTTTAAATAGCATTGATTGCTGGCCAATGAGTAGTAATCTCACATAATAGATCATCAGACATCATCTTTATTAGTGTCTGGGAAAATTTCAAAGCTAAGATTAGAGGTCAAGTCATTACTTACATGGCCTTTAAAAAGAAAGTATCTGAACAGATACTAAATACCCTGAGCAAAAATAAAATTACTAGAAAGCAAGAACACTCAACAACAAAAACATGTTTTTCCATGACCACATATCCCTGAGGCAGTTATACTGGACTGTGCCAACTTCAAAGGTCAGAGGCTGGCCAACCTACTACTATAAGCCTAACATAGGGCTGGGGGCACGGCTCAAGTAGTAGAGCACTAGCCTAACAAGTGCAAGGTCCTGAGTTCAATCCCCAGTATCAAAAAAAAAAAAACAAACAAACCTTATCTGTTGTTTTGAAAAGCATGCTATATGGAAAGAAAAGACCATGATAATATGAGTCTTATAAAAAAATATTATGTACAAAGTTTCTCAAAATAGATAATCTCACAGAGATCCTACCTGATTGTTTATGGAAAAGTCAAATGGAAGAAAAAGGATTCTGGAGTTCTAAATGTGCCACAAAGGAAAAATAAACTATGAAGAGGAAACACATCCTCATATAACAAATGATAGGCCTATAATGTGCTTAGAATACCCAGGATTAAATAAACTGGATTAGAGTCCGTGCTTTGCAAAAAGCCTCTATTTTCACCTGGAAATCAATGACCTGTGGCCCTATACTGTCAACTCTCAGGGACTTGTGCTCAGCTATATTATTTCCTCATTTATTTGTAATGATGCCACCTGAAAATCATACTTCTCTGTTTTTGCTTATAGAAGACTGTGTTCTATATCATCCTGCAGGCTGATACATGACTTCCACTTTCTTATAACTCAGTATGAGTCAAAAGTGTTGTACATCTGCTCAAAACACAATCCAGGACTAGTGGCAATGTTGTCTTTGGGTACACTTCCAAACGTTTGTCACCTGGACATATGTTATTCAGAAACAACAAAATGCTTGTGACTATACTTTGTTTGAATGGGAAACTTTAACAGATACCCCCAATAGTCTTCATGATTAAAAGCAAAGGAAAGGATATAAAAAAAAAATAATAAAAATTAAAAAAAAAAAACATTTTGCTGAGCTAACACAAAGGAAGAATTCCACTGAAATAAGGAATGCAGGAATAGCAAGGTAGCAGATATAAATCACATAGAAAAATCATTAGCATTTCTATACACTAACAATGAGCAAACAGAAAAGAGATGTATGAAAACAATTCCATTTACAATAGCTCAAAAAAAATCAAATACCTAGGTGTAAACCTAACAAAAGATGTGAAAGACCTCTACAAGGAAACTATACACTTCTGAAGAAAGAGATTGAGGAAGACTATAGAAAGTGGAGAGATCTCCCATGCTCATGGATTGGTAGAATCAACATAGTAAAAATGTCTATACTCCCAAAAGTAATCTACATGTTTAATGCAATTCCCATCAAAATTCCAATGACATTCATCAAAGAGATTGAAAAAATTACTGTTAAATTTATATGGAAACACAAGAGGCCACAATAGCCAAGGCAATACTCAGTCAAAAGAACAATGCAGGAGGTATCACAATACCTGACTTCAAACTATTTACAAAGCAATAATAATAAAAAACAGCATGGTACTGGCACAAAAACAGACATGAAGACCAGTGGAACAGAATAGAGGATCCAGATATGAAGCCACACAACTATAAGCAACTTATCTTTGACAAAGGAGCTAAAAATATACGATGGAGAAATAGCAGCCTCTTCAACAAAAACTGCTGGGAAAACTGGTTAGCAGTCTGCAAAAAACTGAAACTAGATCCATGTATATCACCCTATACCAAGATTAACTCAAAATGGATCAAGGATCTTAATATCAGACCACCAACTCTTAAGTTGATACAAGAAAGAGTAGGAAATACTCTGGAGTTGGTAGGTATAGGTAAGAACTTTCTCAACGAAACCCCAGCAGCACAGCAACTAAGAGATAGCATAGATAAATGGGACCTCATAAAACTAAAAAGCTTCTGTTCATCAAAAGAAATGGTCTCTAAACTGAAGAGAACACCCACAGAGTGGGAGAAAATATTTGCCAACTATACATCAGACAAAAGACTGATAACCAGAATATACAGGGAACTTAAAAAACTAAATTCTCCCAAAACTAATGAACCAATAAAGAAATGGCAGGTGAACTAAACAGAACTTTCTCAAAAGAAGAAAATTCAAATGGCCAGAAACACATGAAAAATGCTCACCATCTCTAGCAATAAAGGAAATGCAAATTAAAACCACACTAAGATTCCACCTCACCCCTGTTAGAATAGCCATCATCAGCAACACCACCAACAACAGGTGTTGGCGAGGATGCGGGGAAAAAGGAACCCTCTTACACTGTTGGTGGGAATGTAGACTAGTACAACCACTCTGGAAAAAAATTTGGAGGCTACTTAAAAAGCTGGACATCGATCTACCATTTGATCCAGCAATACCACTCTTGGGGATATACCCAAAAGACTGTTACTCCAGAGGCACCTGCACATCCATGTTTATTGCGGCACTATTCACAATAGCCAAGTTATGGAAACAGCCAAGATGCCCCAGCACTGACGAATGGATTAAGAAAATGTGGTATCTATACACAATGGAATTTTATGCAGCCATGAAGAGAACGAAATGTTATCATTCGCTGGTAAATGGATGGAATTGAGAGAACTCATTCTGAGTGAGGTTAGCCTGGCTCAAAAGACCAAAAATCGTATGTTCTCCTCATATGTGGACATTAGATCAAGGGCAAACACACAAGGGGATTGGACTATGAGCACATGATAAAAGCAAGAGCACACAAGGGAGGGGTGAGGATAGGTAAGACACCTAAAAAACTAGCTAGCATTTGTTGCCCTTAATGCAGAGAAACTAAAGCAGATACCTTAAAGCAACTGAGGCCAATAGGAAAAGGGGACCAGGAACTAGAGAAAAGGTTAGATTAAAAAGAATTAACCTAGAAGGTAACACCCACGCACAGGAAATCAATGTGAGTCAATGCCCTGTATAGCTATCCTTATCTCAACCAGCAAAACCCCTTGTTCCT